TGTTCACCGTATCCAGGATTATCGTACCTCCTCCTACTACTACTACTACTACTACTACTACTACTATTACTGCTACTACTACTACTACTACTACTACTACTACTGCTGCTAGTACTACTACTACTGCTACTACAACAACAACAACTACTACTACTACTACTACGACGACTACGACGACTACGCTTCGACACAACGTAAACGCGTGTCACAGACATGCCGATTGTATGGTTTTTTTTACAATGTTTCAGACACTTCAGCGGCTGAAAACCTCGATGGTGTCGGCATTTTCTGCGCTTGGAGTTCCACAGAATCGCAAGTGCCGAGCGCATCGGTATTTACGCGGTTTTCTGTGCTTTCCATGTTTCAAAGGACACATTTTACGGGATTGTACAACCAGGACGGATCTTGAATCTGTAGGCCTATTTTCGGAAAATGTTGTAAATTACAGCACATCGCCTTACACAGGAACTTATTATGGCTTTGTTTTCGCTGCTTCTACACACGTTTGGAAGGGTTTTCTTTGTTCTCCAGCATGAGAGAGGAAGATCCGAAATGTCTTGAACATGCAAGCAACCCCCAGGAAGTAACACGGCGCCCAATGCGCCCGTCGCCATCTGTGTCTCTATCTATCTGTCGGTCTGTCTGTCAGATTCTATCTATCAAGCTCTCAATTTCTCCATTTGTCTCTCTCTCCCTCTCTATCTCCACCTCAAATTCTCTATCTGCTTTATGTATCTGAGTAGTTGTCTATGGCATCGTTGTAAATCATTTACAACCACGTGACGATTGCAGTCCATGTTGACAAAACAGGAGCCATACATGGAAGATGAATGTACATGGTCTTCGTTTACATGGCGTCGAACTGCAGCACATGTCTTTATACGTACATATTCGAGAATAAATCCGTCCTTGCTCTTGCGCACGTCCGTCGGTCACGCAGGACGCCTAGAGGAACCGGTTGTTTAAATGGTTTATTTCATCCCAGCAAATATCCAAATATCCCATATCGCCACCGCATGCAAGGTGCTTGGTGACCTTGGTGGCCTTTCCAGTCCGAAGTGGAGTTTGGCGACTCTGGCAGTCGATCTTTGCATCGAAATGAACAAGAGGGAGCCGACAGCCTTCTCGCTCTTACTGGGGTAGCTTTGGCCCAACATCAAACATCCTGTGTTCTGTCTTGCTATAAGAACTCTGCACCCTTACATCTCATCCGGGAGCGAGGTGGCTGCCGAGCGCCTGCAGCAAAAGCATCATGCACAAGGACGACATCGCAGTGCAGCAAGATGCACTTTCCTGGCTGCTGCTCGGATTCGCTACAATGCCGTCATGCAGAGTCTCTCAGCAGCATTTTGCCAGTGTGTGCTTGCTCTCCTTATGCCGAACCTGATCTTGTGAGACATTCGTTGAGGCTCTGCCTCTCTCGGAGCTCTCCCGGCTTTTGGATCCCGGCCTCAGTTGGCACAGCGAGGAGGATCTCTGCTCCCATGCAGTGGCATTGCAAGCGTCGCTGGCCGGGGACTCGGACGTGAGGGGCCGGGCCTGCGCGTGGCCCCTGTTTCGCTTTGTCTGGCGTGAGGAGGGTTGCAGGTCCGTGGCCGAGGCGCGCACGGGAGTGCTGTGCCTCTTTGTGTCCTCTGAAGCTGCAAATCCAGCCCCTGAGTATCAGGACATGGTTTTGGCTGTGCAGTCTGTGCGGCAGGACATGAAGGCCGAAAGAGACAGGACGATGATTTCATTAAACACCTTCGGAGTGACATTGGCCTCGTTGGCCGTTGCCAAACTCCTCTGTCCGGGCCACTGTGCTGGTGCACTGCAGTGACTGTCTTCAGGGTGTGGAACCACTGCAAGCTGCTATGGCCTAGTTCCCAGGTTCCATACTAGGGCATGCCCAAAGGTGCTGCATGATGAACCTCATAAGGCCTGGGCCCATTGTGCGCAACTTTGGCAGCGGAGTGTGCTGGTCGCATCCTCACAGAAAACCACACAAGCTACATGTGCATAGCCAGTTGCAGCTGCAACAACTGCTAGCAGCACTGTTTATGGATTTACATGTTGACTCTTGTGTAGTTGGGCACGTTCGTTGGATTTCGGTGGTTAATTCCGGCCACGTTGACATCGTGTTCTGTCATTGAACTACTTTATGAGGCTGCCCAGCCGCGCCGTGGGTAGTAAGCTACGCCGGAACCCAAACAAGTGCCGAAAACCTACTCGACGCAGTTGTTCCTTTAGCGGAGCCTTTCGGTAGAAAAGGCGTCGTGTGAGTGTGGCTTAAGCGGCTGCAGCTCCAGCATTCGTTGCCTCAAGATGTGTTTCTCATACGTACGTTCGCGATCTCAAACTGACACCGTTCCATATCATGACTGATGCTTCTGGTGCTATATTCAAACCTCACAATCTTATTGCTATAAATTAAAGGCCTTCGAATAAGTTCCATGCGGTAATCCCAGTTAGTGAGTGTTCTACCCAGCTAGCAAGCCAACACGCCTCCATCAATAGCACAAGATGGTGAACCATACTGAAAGGTTGATGTCGAAGACATGCTGTAGCAGCATGAGGCAACTATATGGTGCAATGCCAGCAATGGGTTCAAGTTTCTTGGATACAGAGGGTTCAAAAACGATCACACGCATCATGCGGCTACAGTGTATAATGACAAAGTTGCACCGCGTTCGCTACAGCACTGCATGCAGAAATGCTGAAAAGTTTTCCGCATCTCCTGATGCTGGCGCGATGTAGCATCCATGCATAGAAGAGAGAGAGGCCTTGTACAGTCTGTCGCCCAGAGATGCGCACCTTTGCGCAGAGTGTGTCGTCACCTTGCAGTATTCGCCCCCTCTGCTGCTAGACTGCTGCATGGACAGTGCTTTAGAAAAGGACCAATAGCTGCTCGTAGCAGCAGTATGCAGATGTAGTACGTACACACGGCCCACACAACTGGAGTTTGCTTGAGCCAAGCAGTGCCAGTGTTGCCGTCGATTGCATGGAAGCCGGCCCGAGCATTCAGACATGGTGTGCCGAAGCAGCATGCGCAGGAGCCGCCTAGAGGCCTAGAGCTCTAGATCTGGTCCGGATCGATTCTGTGCCGGGAATGATTATGATCCAGCAGTGCAAGCGCGAAGCTTGTGTGGCCGAGCTGGTCCGGTTCAAGCAGTACGTTTGCATGGCTCGAGTTTTCAATGGGCACAATTTAAGTTTGAGTCGACACTGTATCATTTGTTTCCAGCGGCTCGCGGACCCGAAGCACATGAAGATACACACGCAATGCATTCACAAGGCAGCGTGGACACAAGAAACGGGCGGATGGCGTTTGTATGACACCAACGGGCCAACGGGGATGATGCGCAGCCCATGCCTACATTGCTCTGCCACTACCACAAAACCACGGCAGCATGCTGTCACCTGAACTGTGTTATGGCCGGCGGCGCTGCTCCATTGTCTTGGCAGCCCTACGGACCATGACTCGGGCACACCTGATCAAATACAACTCGCAGCAACTGATGACGGGACTTCCGGAGGTCGTGAGCCCCATCATGCACGAACTTGGGTCGTCGACTTCATCAGATCCCATGGATGGCAGGACATGATGGTGAAGCCGTCGCTGAGGGATGAGCTTGATCGCACATGTGTCGTATGCGGAAAGATCTCGCCAACCGCGGTCTAGTCAAGCCGCGATTCCGAAAGATGCACATGTAGCTCCGGAGTGACTTCCGCAAGAATGATCGGTCACCCCGTGCCGGTTCTGCGCGCACGACGTTGCGAAGCCCAAGATTCATATCCTTGGCTGCACCGTCGCTTGGTAGCGCGCGATGCTGCAATGTGCTCTCCAAGGTCAAGACAATGACTGCTGTGGACGAGGAGATGCTTCTCTTCGGAGATGCTCCAGCAGTGAAGCGTCTCCTGCAGCAAGGGACGGGAAGTCTATAGGATCAGGGACACAACGCGCGATACCAGGGACCGGTCAGGGCAAAGGACGCGGTCACAAAGGCAATGCTCCCAAAAAGGTGGGCAAGGATCATAACCAGAACGAAGTGCCATGATGCGCCTGACCCGGAAGCAGGATCTTTGATCACATTTTGAGCAGGACACCGCCCACACGTGGACCTTCGAGAACAATCCGGATGCATCCAACACCAATTCACCGGAGGAACTCAGCAGAAACTTCAGAACAACGGTCATGTTGGGCCTGCTGCAGGAGTTCGCATGTTCGAAATCATCAAAATGTGGGAAGGAAGCGCTGCTCTAAAGATGGTGGGGGTTCGCATCAGGGGCGCCAGACCTCAGAGATCCATGATGACCAACAATATCCAGCAGTACTTGGACAAACGCTACACATGAGGCTCATTAATCCTGGCAATCATTGTTACACACATTCCACGGTTCTGCCTGGATTTGGACTTCTCATCACTACCTGCAGGGTGGCACCGAATGTTTGGATCACCTCGTGGCGAATGCTTTTGCGGGCATGGCACTCAGATCTGTCACAACAGGAAGACGCAACCGAGTTGCTACAGTTTCTCTTGCAGCAAGCGTGCCGGCCCATGTTTGAGGGAGTCTGGCCAGCAAGGATTGTCACCGAGGCGGGGCTCGACGTTCGCTTAACAGGTCATTTGAACCTATCGGAATCCACATTCCAGCAGTGCCGTGCTTGCTACAAGATTGTATGCGCAAGTGGCACCAACAAGCCGACCGCAATGCTTGGATTATCCATCGGACACGGTTCGCTTGCAACCGCTTCGTTTCCCACTACTGCGAGGGCCATTTCACAAGAACATGGCGCCGATCTCATTTGCAGGACGAAGCCGTCATGCTGCCGATCTTCATTGAAGGCGTTCATGTTTGGTGGGTTGAATATGTTATATATTGTGGCAGTAGATTGACTTGGGCCCCACTCCTCAGGGGGTGCACTACAGAGCATTACTGACTGAGGGCCGTGGCAACCGCTGATGCTTACCTTTTCTGGCTTGTGCGCAAGAGTGCTTTTTACACGTCGCACGTAGGTCTGCTTCGTGCCGGCCTGACAATCACGCTTGTGCTTGTTTTTCCGCCGCGCTTGGCATGTTTCACGACGTGCTCAACCACAAAGACAAAAAGCTGGATTCTCCAGGACCAGAACCAGAACGAGGTGGAAGCCTCACTTCTGGATGCCGTGATGCGCCTCGCCCTGAAGCACGAGGATCTTCGGCCGCGCTCTCAGCAGGACACCGCCCCAGCATGGACATTCGAAAGCAATCCGAGTGCGTCCAACACCGCTCGAGACGTTGTGGGCTATTTTGGCGTGATGGTGCTGAGGGAGATTTGGGAAATAATGCACATCCTTACGCAATATCGCATAGGAAGCGTTTGACGCGCGCATTGTAGTCCATGCTCTGCAGGAGCTCGTCATTGACGTCGTGCTACGAGCGAAAGCTCCATTCTCACTTGCCTTTGCGGTCTTTGCGTGCCACTTGAGTCGCCACTGAGCGAAGGGTTGGAGGCAAACGGGGCCTCGATTGCGCCTGCGGCCTGGGTTGGCTTTGCTGCGCCATGGAGTCTGCGTGCACCCTAGGAGCTCGTAGGCGAATCTGAGTCTGTTGTTGAGCGTTTTCATGTCTGCATACGCGCCACCCATCCCACTGCTGCACTTCCAGCTCCCCTACCACCGCTCCGCCAGCAACGGCTGTGATCCTGCTGCCGCTCAGAGGCTCTGTTTGCGTGTTTTTCTGATCTGCCCACGCCCGTGGCCAAGGCTCCTCCAGCTCCTGCGGCAGACCAATGGTTACGGGTATGGCAACTTCAGGCACACGTGCTGCACCAAGGGCGTCGCCCAAGACTTCCAATGCCCAAGAGGACCGAGCAGGACAACAACCAGCCCGCAGTTCTAAAGTGGCACAAATGACGAGGGCGACGGCGAAGTATAAATGATCGGTGTGGAATATGCCTGGGCCTGGCAGTGCGTCGATTGCATGGAAACCGGCCCGAGCATTCGGAGATGGTGTGCCGAAGCTGCATGTGCTCTAGATCTGGTCCGCTCCGCCGGGTCAGCCGCGCCTGAGGCTCCGCGCTTCCGCGGGGCACCAGCAGCGCGTGCTTCAGCAGGGTCTCCGAGTCGTCTGTGGCCCGGACGCTCATGGAATCGAAGGTCGCCACGTCCTTGGCGGCCCGTACTGGGGCTGGAAGCTCCTGGCCGCCTTGGCGGGGCCCGGAAGGCCCCGGCCTGGAGTTGCTTACGCCACCACAGCAGAAGCAGTGCAACAAACAAGTTTCACTGACGATTAGATATGCACGATCTCGCTTGCGATAGGAAAGAAGGATCAGAGCTGCCAGTGCGGGCCTGCAATGGTGTTACCAAGCCGGAACGGATAAACCGAACGGCAAACGGAACAGTGTTTTGGACCCGCTCAAGAATTCAGCAGCAGAACATCAGCCATCTTTTTACGTTAAGAAACAGAGTGGGGCAGTGAAACACCTATACGACAGCGAACACAAGACATGGGAAGCGAATTTAACGTGATGCAAAGTGCTAGGTGTACGTATAGTAGAGAGCTAAGCTATTGTGCAACGTCGTACGACAGGCCGTGGTCCTAGCAAAGTTTCGCATTAGGTTCATAAAGGATGCAGCATTGTAAACGAACGCATAATATGGCGAAGCATTGCTTTGTTATGTGACGATTTACTGCATGAAGTGATAGAATAGAAGCGGGAGGGACCCAAGAGCTTTTCCTTCTTCAGACCACTGGGAATGTCGAAGGAGCCGAATGACATCGCTTTGGCATCGAGGAGTAGACGTAGTCATAGTCTCAGCAGACATCGGCCGCCTGGGCCGACAAGTCTTATCCGAACCAAATAACCGAAATGTGTGATTTCAAGATTATTATTATTAGGTGTTTATAGGAGCAGAGCAGACGCCTGAAGTCTAAGAAGTGAAGACAGCAGGCGACTGAGGCAGACAGCAACCATTGACTGATTTCGTGAAGCGAGGCTTGGCACCAGTGAAGCATGGTTTTCGGCATCTACAGCATCTGAATGCTGAGTTGCCCTGTTCCACCACATCAGTTCTACCACATCAGTCCCTTCAAAATCTGTAGAAGTACAGAATGGTACCGGTATAAGACGATCCCGAGGCAGAGGAGGAGGTGCAGAACCGGCTGCAGGAACTACTGAGGAGCTCCCCTGAGGTGGGGACCCGACCCGAGTGCAGGCTAAACTTTCCTTCCAGTAGTGTGCCACTGAGATGTCTGTTTTTTTGTTCGAGTCGTGATCTGCAGGACATAGCAATGTCGGAAATACAGTTCCGATGCCGGAAGGTTCACAGTCACGGCCTTATCACTTGGCCAGCATGCTTATCGGAAACATAGGAGTTGTCAGGCTACTCGGAGGCTTGGCAGAAAGCGCTAGCAGCATGGCCGCGAGCGCCCCTCGACCAAAGGAGTGTTTCATGGTATCTTGCCTCTTGATCTGAGAAACTGAGCAAGGTGGTGCTTTGGAGCCCAAGTGTGTCTAACTGCCACATTGGCGTGCTGTTCGGCCCCGGCTCTACATGCTGAATCTGAGGAGTCAATGCAGATTGCCCGGACTGCTGGTTTGGGACCTTCTCGCTGCAGCCTTGTTTTTTGGAGTGATTCCCCCACCATTGCGTGGCCGAAGATTCTAGTTTTGAGGAGTTGAAGAGATGTCCCGCTGTATAGTGATACGTCAGCATGTCGTGCCTGCAATCTTTTCGGTGTTTTGAGGAGCATGATTTGATCAGCCACTTTTCTGAGTGGCAATACCGGTAGCCCATGCGCCGACTACCCATGAACAAGATATCTCACATCTCGGAGGCAAGAAACACCGACAGCTTCAAAGAGTTTACTCGTCGGAGCCTTCGCCAGTTTTCTGCTGCACACCAGGTCATGGATGTCGCCGTGCCAACGGCGATGTCCCTCCGAACGGTACATGACTCACTGCCCGAGCCTCAGGAACAGTTTCGTTACCCCACCCTTCCATGACCGTGCTTTTCCACAAGAATAGGATCTGCCAAGAACGCGTCGCAGCTCACATCGCGTAAACCTCTGCTTCTAACACGGTGAAACGAAGGAAGTCCCCGCTTGCGCATGCTTGCGCTTTGTCTGACCGATGGCAGTGCGGCTTGATCCAATGTGTCGGTTGCGCCACCAATGATGGAAGACAAGGAAGCAAGGCTTTCCTCCACACCATCGTGTGGCTTGCCGGCTTACCTGTTGGGTACGCGGCGACCGCGCACGTCGGGGACTGCCCTGAACGACCCAATGGCAGTCCACCGGCTGACCGCAAAGCAAACTTCAATCTCCTAGGACGACAGCATGCGAAAACTCGAAAGATTAAAGCCGACACATTCACCGAAAGCAAGCCCCGCTCAATGGGCGAGGGCTTCACGATTCTGCGAGCCTGCCACCCGAGGCTTCGCCTCGAGTGGGCTTCGGATGGTGCAGAAGTTCTCTGGTCGGCGAACAACTTTGACTTGGATCCTTTGCAGCAAAAAGGTTTGAAGAACTTGATGGCCGCAGCAGCTCACGCTGTGGCCAAGGCTGACGGAGACCTCCAAGGAGTCACCACAGAAGGCTGTCTCAGGGCCCACCACCCAGCTTCCGCCCAGCATGCTCGCTGGGAGCATTGACTTGTTGACCTAACTGTAGGACTCGCGACTTCAGGAGATCATGCGTCTGCACACCAGACATGGCTCCATCCTGGTCGATGTCCGCCATCGCCTTAAGCTTTTCTTTGTCCCGATGCGATGCGCGCAGCACAGGCCCGGATGCAACCAGCATTGCTTGATAAGGTCTGCTGCTGTTGGTTCAGCCGGCGTATGCCAGGCCTCTCAAAGTCCTCAGGTCCGTCCTGTCCGACGCCCATGCGGTTGCCAAGCACAGCTCCCTGCAGCACGTGAGATTCCTTAGGAGCGGCCAGTTTGAGACCTCGCAGAAACGGCGACGTCTCTGGGCAGAGATGCTCAGAAGATCTCAGAAGGGAATGTGGCACGATGTGGCAAGACGCACAGCAATCCGAAGCATACCTGTTCTCCCCAAAAGGCTAGTCTCATCCACTTCCTGCTGAGCGAACCATCGGTGCTCTGCTTTCTGGCTACCTGTGCGAGAGCGGTGTTGACTCGAATGCAACTCTTCAGGTACAGACCATCGAGGCCATGGAATCGAACGAGGCATTCTTAGCCCTTCGATTAATCAGATCCATTGCTTGTCTCGAGCAGGAGCTTCTGCTGTATGCCGGCATGCCGCTGTTGCAGAGGCTGCAGGACGCCGCAAGCTCTTGAGATCGGGTGTCAGTTTGCTGGGCGTTAGCCGGGGAGTCCGGAGCTGCCAGGAGCTGTCTACGGCCCAGAAGAAGCTGAGAGACGAGGTGTCACGGAGGGACAGCCAACCCCTAACCCCCGAACCCGACCCACCCTACCCAAGCCCTAGACATCTCCTTTTGGGGTTACCTTTGTGTTTCTCAGCTAACTACAATATCGCTCCTGTTAGCATTTGGGGTGTGGCAGCCAACTTCTGCGGTTGGTGGGGGGGGGGGTACAATGGCTCACCCTTTGGGTTCCTACGTCTCCTTTCTTTGCAGGTCCGCCATCTCCTGATCGAGTTTTGGATTCTCATCCAACATCACCTTTTAGGGTTTTGGGTCCGGCCCGCAACATGTCCTGTCGGGGTTTGGGATTTGGCTTCTTCTTTCAGGCTTGGAACAAACTCGAATTTTACCCACTTCGACTCGAATTGGTGGGCCTGAAACGGGCAAGGAGGGAGGGAGGGAGGGAGGGAGGGAGGGTGGGAGGATGCAAAGCTCAACAGTACAATACAAACAATCTCGAGCAACCAAGATCATCCCCAGTGATACACTCAGGCAGGCACTCATTCCTTTATGCGACCAAGCCAGTCTTCAGGGATCTTGAGCCAATGCCATTCGGCATCGTACATTGGGCTCACGTTATTTAACACAGTCCCTTGATCCTGACTTCAGTCGCAGATCATTCGAGCATCTATCCAATACACAACTACACAGCAGCATTCGCGAAACGATCACAGAACTTTCGAAACAAAAGTTTCAAGGACTATTGGTTACAGTCTGGACATTATGGCTCGGCTCAAGGCTCAGTCCTGTGCTCGTGAAATTCGGAGGCGCGTCGCACTGCGCAGGCAATCTTGTGCAGTCGGGCATTGATCCAAGCATCATTGAATCTGAGAACTTCAGTCTCTGCAACCCACAGAAAACATCTAGTCAACGTTTCAACAAACACTGCAAAACATGCGGCATTGGTTCTGCACTCCTAAACTCATTCCGGGCTCACTCGCGGCCTCATTTCGTACCTTTGGCATTCATCCTCAGGACACTCTCCGCGCCGGGCTTCAGGGCATTGGTGACCTGGACGATGGAGGTAGCCGGTAGCAGTCGAGCTGCTGGGACCAGTCCAGGCGTTCTTCGCATTCGGCACTTCGCCGTCATCTTCTTCATACAACTCATCCCAAGTGGAACAGTCATGCTCCAGTCCACCGCCATAGCATTGGTTCAGGGGCAGCAGGCGCCATTCCACCAGTTCTGTGCCGGGCAGTGTGGCTCGGAATCCCCATTCCGTGGCCTCATTCAGGCATACAAGGTCTTGGGCGAGGGCATACGCATTGGATCATTCATGGGCACTCGCAGGATGCCCATTGTTCGAGTCCGGCGACATGATCCACACCCAGTAGTTTCTCTTCGAGGCAGTCGCCTCGAAGGTCGACATGTGGTCAGTGAGCTGGCGATTGAAGTAATTCGCAGTTTCATTTGATTTTTCCCGGGCCCACGTCCCGCATTCACCTATCGGCGGCGAGTTTTTGCAGTCGTTCTTATGAAGACGACGAAGGCGATCGGCTTATCGCATTCACTTGGCGTGTAGAATTCTGGTTCGCCCATCGGACAGTCTTCTTCAAAACACTCAGGGCAGTGAAACTGCGATTCAGCTGGCCGCAAGGGTAGCGTCTCAAGTCAAAGCAGCCAGTCTCGAACATCCCATGCCAAGCTCAGTGGAAGACGCACCCAGTCGTATACTCTGACCGGGCCATTGGTCAGGTTCTCCTTTGCGGAGGCGGAAACTTTCCATTCGATGTTCCAGTTGCATTCCGGAGGGGAAACGCATCGACCTCAATCCGCCACAATTGTCTCAGAGAGTCCCTGGCATCGCGACACTATACATGGTCACGTCTCTCCATTCTCTCAGCGAACTACATTCGGAAAACAATCGCCAAGCTTTCGCCAGACTTCGCCAGTCAATCACCAAACATTCGCAAGACTGTCGCCAGACAGTCGGGCGAAGCCCCCAATCTCCGTTCGGATTCGGGGAAGCTTTCAGAACATTCCTGCAATCCCGTCGGGATCTACATTCGATCGGAGAACATTTCGGCAATCGGAGAAATTTCACGGTCATTCTCTCACACACTCTTTCTTTGGTGTTTAAATGGCTTTTCAGGGAAACAACCTACAGCGCGCATCACAGTCATGACATGCAGTGGCACTCTACACTGCACAACAGCAATCTGCATTGACATGTGACGTGCCTTCACTCAGGAACATGCAACACTGCAATCGAAGCTGCAACTCACTCACACAGGCCCTCGGCGTGGATTTCAGTCCATCGGCGTCCAGAGATGCGACGTGCGCGCAACTGTTTTGCCGAGCCCTTCGTGGTAATTGTCCGTTTCCACCCACATGTACTTGACTCACCAAAACAAACCGAGCTTTCTGATGGCAAAAGACTTTCAGGGTGAAGTCCTGCCATACAAACCGGACGTTCTCCCCGATGACTTCAACAACCGCACCACGAGGGTCACCTTTTAAGACGGAGATGTGCGTCCATTCAACAGTATTTTCACCTTTTGACTAGAGGAGATGTTGCTGAAGTTTAACCAGAACGCTTCGGATCAGAGCCAGGCCCGGTACAACAATAGCGATACCGAAAGGCTGGATCATGCCAATAGACTCCCACCGGAGGTGCAGGCAGGGTGGCCAACCTGGACTGTCTCAACACTTATGTCCTCGACTGGGGAAAAGCTCCGAAACCACCGTACCTTGCCCCAAGGTGGTGAGTAAGGAAATGTAAACAGCTTTTTGGAATCGCGTCTCCGACCGATGGCTCGCTAAGTTGGGCACCAGACTGGTCACCAGACATCTCGATAGGCGGTCGGACGTTCGTAGGAACAACGCCTGGCATTCCCTACTGGGAACAAAGATTCAAGCCATGGCCGCTGAGGGCACACATGCTCGGTCAACAAAACAAGTCGTGAAACTTCACAACAAGTACCTACTTCACCAGGAAAAGGTGAACGAGAACGGAGAGGGAGGGAGAGGGGAGGGGGAGGGAGAGGGGAGAGGGAGGCAAGGGAAAGAGGCAAACGTCTCAGCTCCTGCACGCCCTTGCTTGCAAGCTCTGCTTCAGCAGCAAATAGCTGTCCGCGCAGCATTCAGCCCCGGGTTTTCAAGATTTTGCTTGGGGATTTAGGATGAGTCGGATGTCCGTTTGCGCTGTCGCTTTCGGATGTCTTAAAGGTTATACGGGGTTTGCGGATGTGTTTCAGAGCGCAGTTTCTCACGTTTCTTTCAAAGATTTAGGAAGGGCAAAGGCACCACCCTGGGCCAAGTGTTGGCCGGCCTTGAGCAAAAAATAGTTTCGGCTGCCACTTCTGACCGGATTCCTGTGTTTTCTTGAACCCCCTGTTACTGTCTTGCTGTATTGCTGTATTGGTGGCTGCAGGAGCGAAAAAAAGTGTTGCTCTTACGAGCTTGGGGCCAGGAGAGTCGCATCTCAAGGCTCACCTTTCCTGAATGCGTTGGTGCGAAGGCCGCAAAAGTGCTTTGGGCTGTCAGCCCCCTGCACAATAAACCCTGAACCCCTCAACCCGCCCCCCCCCCCCTCCAGCGCCCGAAAGCAAAGGAAGATTCGCGAGAGCCCTTCGTCTCCCCGGTCCCACCTGTTTGAGCGCTTTAGGAACTTAGAGATCTTGGGCTTGATGGGGCCCAGTGACAGCAAGACCTGACTTGCTGAGCATGGCCCCAAGACCAAGAGCTCTCCAGATGTCCAGGCCAGAGAGGGGGAAGACCTGGCTGCGGCATTGAATGATCGCGCGGTGTCTTCCTCAGATGAGCCTAACCCGGCCGCGGTGCCCTGCAGAAAGCCTCAAGTTCATCCATAAGACTATTCAAGGTCCCTCTAAAGTTAGACTAAAAAGTTGAGACGACCTGAGGCCTTGGCAGAGAAGTGCCTGAAGCGTTTGGACGCCTTGAGCTACCAAGCCTTCGAGACTTGCTTGTCACCGCGAACTGCGAGGCCGCATCTCTAAGACTCTAAGAGCCTGAAGTGCTCTCTGCAATTTTCTGCTGAGGATGCAGACATGGAAGACTGCGCCTGCGGCTGAAGACCTCTACAACGAGGCGCCTTTGCACTTTTTCGGCGGCTTGGGTGTTAGGGACAGCGCGGTGAAGAGGAACCATGGCACCCGGCTCTCTCCAGCTTGCAGCAGTATTTGCACAAGGCGCCAAGGAAACTACCCTTCGCGTGCTGCCACAGTCGCTGCTTGAGAGCATCTGCAAGTCCCGAGAGGCAGCGCCAGCTGCTCCTGCCTTCGCACTCGATGTTGCTGCGTTGGCCAGCCAGCGCTTGAAGGCCACTTCGGCGGCACGCTGATTTCCACAATTTTGTTTGCCACATCTTCAATACTCTTCTTGCAGGCTCTCCAGTCCTGACGGAAACACTTGGCTCTCTGCAGGGCACAAAGTGGCCCTGCAGAACCCCGGCACCGGGACTTGCCAGCTGCATGCCAGAAAATCGAGCTGAAGTCCTGGCTTGGGAGCACTTGGAAGCTTGCGAGGATGCCGGGCGTCGAAACGAAGGATTGTTAACAATGGATGTGTCAAGCTTACGTGCTCGTAGAAATGCCCAATTCGTTATTATAGCATGTTACACAGCCGACATGACAGGAAGCCAGCACTTGCAGGTGTTGCCTTACATAGTTCCTTCGGGATACTCGATTGAATGAGGTAGAGGGGCGTGAGAATCTCCTGGACCCAACCCGCGACCTTTTGATTGCAGCCGCTCCGAGCTTCGCGGTCTGCACATGTCCAGGCTGGTCTCGCTCAGATTTCCCACGCGCAGCTTAAACACTATAGTGCATGCCGAACCAGTGCGAACTCCGCACTGGTAGCAGAGCTTCGGCTTCGGCGTGGGGCAATGTACCGCACCAAGGTCAAGGGGGTTACGGGAAACATATTAAGCTATCCGGAAAGGGTCGGCGGGGAGGCGCTAAACAGGACTACTAGACACCGTCTGAGCTTCCTCATCGCAAAACTGGCTCGGAGTGCCTGTCCACATACCGTTTCGACGGGCAAGCGATGCGGTTGTTTCGGAGTTCCGGGCCCGTGCGCTAATCCTCCTCTACGCACTCGCTGTCAGGAAACATGAGCTGTCAGGAAACATGACTGTCCAACGCGTAGAACTGTGCCGCTTGCACGAGAAGCCTTCGTCGTTGATTCGTCACACTCGACGCATTTTGCCCGGTCGCCTCGAAGCAGCTCATGTGCTACTTCGGCTGGTGCACATGATGGCTATACCGGCTATACCCTTCAGTCTTTGATGCTCGAGCCCGCTGCAGTGATCCAGAGCAGCTGGAATTAAGAGATGTAGTGAAGTGAAAGCAACACGTGTGGAACATTTTTCCATGTGGCGGTCTTCAGCCAAACTGAGCGCTCTTTCGACAAGCGGATGGAATGTGAGTGACAAACTTGCCGTCGCGTCAGATTCATGTTGGTTGTTGTGAGTCGTTTCACAGCTGACGAAAGTTTTCTTGATCTTCGTCCCGGGGTACAACTGGAGATGTGTCGTCCTGCATAAAATGGACCAGGGCACTTCGTCATCTAAAATAGGATTTGGTGTGACGGTTTGGTCGACAAAGCACGGAGTTAAAGGGAGCCAAACATATTGCCATGGGTTCCAGCGCAAGCCGTGTGGTCGGACCTCCCCAAACGCCCCCGGCTGGCCATTGCTTTACAGCCGCGGATTCGCCGCGATTGCGCTTCCGCGGACGGCATCTGCAAACTGAAGGCATACGGCGGCATACGTAGCAAGTAGGAGCTGTGTTTCCACAGCGTATAGATACAGTGAGGGGAGCTTCTCACTAGAAACCTTGCCTTCTGTTTTCGACTCTCTCTCTCTCTCTTTTTTTTTTTTTCTCTCT